AGTGAATGGGATTGCTTACTTTGTAAAATATAAAAAAATCTTAAAAAATCATTTTACACTGATATTAAGAAAAAACTGAATTGTTCAAAGAAGGATTGATGTTTGGATTAAATTAATTATATTGTTATGATTGTTATTGTTTTATTTTTAATAAGTTATTATTGTTGTTGTTGCTATTAGATTTCACTTTATAATTGCTAATACAGTAGAACCCCTATTAAGGGGACAGAAGAAAAATTGTCCCCTTACTAGGGGTGTCCCCTGACCAGGTGTTGGCCGTAGTGTTAAAATATATACTTTCCCTCATTTTGTGGCAGAAAATTTGTCCCCTTAGTAAAGGGTGTCCCATAGGAGGGGGTTCCACTGTAATAACTTGTGGATTTGATTTTTTGACTTTCTAATATGGTTTTTTTTAGGTGGTTCTTTGGGAAAATTAAACGAGCAGATGCTGAGAAGAAGTTATTGTTACCACAAAATGATCATGGAACATTTCTAATTCGAGAGAGTGAGAGCAGAAAGGATGATTACTCTTTATCAGGTATGTCAAAAGTGTTTTACTTCAATTTTTTCCCCTCATACTTGTAGCTCTAAATTTAGAGACCAACACAATAGCACATTTCATAAAATTTCAAATATATTTTTCAGTTTTGATGACTTGAGCTTTTTTTAACTTTGCTTTATTACCGAAATGCTACAATTTAGTAAACCAATAAAAGTTTGGACCTCAGTCCCAAATTTGGTGGGGGCTGAGGTAGGGTCTGTATCCTCCATATCTGTATAAGTCACTCCATGGGCCCCCTCAATTTCTAATTTCTTGATCAACCACTGGAAGAAAGGAATGAGTGAAATCATAGCACAATACTCTTCTAATCTGTCACTTAATATTTCAGCCTTGGATGCTTTACATGAACTGAAAATCAAAAAAATATTTTCACATTTAAAAGTCATTATAATAATGTACAGTACTGTATGTTGATCATCAGATTTACACAGATGACATCATTTCTAAAAATAGACTCCAATTATTGTAAATCTCGCATTATCCCTGTATGTCAATCAGTGAACTCTCTACAGTGTAGCTGTGCTGGTTGTGTGTTACTGTACATCAGTTACACAAAGTACTGTCGTTTGAATGGTGAAGTTTGAGTTGGTCAAACCACATGGGCACTACAGTATGAGGTGGATTGATATTAAGTACTGTACATTTGCCAGTACATTATTTGGATGAAATATCCCACGTCACATTACGAATATATCACAATAATTTTAGACTTGAACAAACGAACAATGAACCCATAAGTGGGACCTGTAAACTATGATTTCATAAATTACATTTGTTAGTCTGAAAAGTGCTGTTTGTCTTTCATTTACTGTTATGATTTCATTATTTATAATTACTATATAGGCCTTGTCTTATTGTACCATTGCACTTTAGCCAATATCAAACAACTATTACCAGTATCTTTTTATTGGGCATAATTAAATTTTAAGAATTGAAGAATTAAATAAATGCGATACTATCCACTAAAAACTTGCATTAACTTTAATTCACAACAAAAGCAGAGTATAATAATACATGATGTACTAAATTTAATATCAATATTATTATATTTGAATATGCAAAAAACGAACATATTTACCTAATTGTAATATGTACATACTATATTTTGAACTACAATTTATTCCACAGTATATGTCATATTGGATATTACTTTTCAATACTTTTAATTATCTTTAAATAACGATTTAGTTCAGTAATTGATTGCTGTGAGTGTAGAATACTGTAAAAATAATCTGAAAAAATATAAATCTTATACAATGTTGTTATTAGACTTTATATTATTAAGTGTTGTGAGTAGTGTTGGGTATTATCAATCACACAACATTGATGATCACTTTACTGAACTGTACACAGGATATAATATTTTAGTTTTTTTTATATGTTTTTGTGGTTTAGTAAACAATTGGATTACGTTGTTGCATCAGAGTTGATCAATAATCAGTTTGTTACCATAAACTAGTCACGCTGACTCAGTTCTTCTCCAGGAATCCCTCTACTAAAATTAGTAATGCATCCCCATTGTATGCTAATTTTGTGTGTTGTTTCTCGCATTCAATTTCAAATTCAGCGTCCCTCATAAGTTAGAATAATTAATTTTGAGCCCCAATTTTTTCTTGCATACTTGTTGAAAATACCAACATCTTGAGTGAAACAACTAAATTCTTGATTGAGATGGATTGTGTAGACTGGTAATGTTTGCTGAATGTTCGTATTACTATTATTAGTGATCTTGATATCATGGTACAAACATACATGTCACTCGATGTACAGTAACCCCAAACATTGTATCTAAAGTCACTGAATAAACAGTTGTTGCCATGGCTGTGTTCAGTTCATTGGAAAGCATGTTTGTGCCATACTTAACCTGTCTGGACTTGCCCAGATAAGGAAGCATAATTAATGATCTGTTTATGATGAGATTGAATTTGGTAAGCAAATTATTAACAAAAAACAACAGCTAGATTCTAATTCTTGACTCATTTTTTAAATATCCTTGTTAGATTTTTGTTATTCAATAAGTAATGTTCATAAAAATATATAAATTTTATCAAAATAATTTAATATTTATTGATTTGTAAAAAAAAATTGATTAAACAAAAAAACTTTAAAATTAGAGGTGCATACAACTCGAGAGTGTTGCATTGTTTAGAAAATGCATTTTGTTTTCTTTGTGGTTTTTATCTTGACACTCAGCTACACACTAAAAGTGTACTGTATCCGTAGCATTTCAATATTACTATCACCCAACATACAGTAATTACTATGAGCTCTGCTCTAGGCATGTCTGTCTGTTTGCTTCCTTTGTTCTCTACTGTACAGGAGCTCTCAAGAAATTTTACTGTACTTGATTGTTTGACTGAAATCCAGGAGGATCACAATCTACAGTGCAACAAATTATTACAGGGTTTGCTACTTACTGTAATAATGATATAACTAAAAATTGCAAATTGCAAGTGAAGTGCTGCGAAGTACAACAGCATATAAATGTTCTTCGAACAAAATTATTTATGCAAGTCAAGTGAAAATAATGAATAATAAAAATATAACAAATAATATGAGACACGACCCATTGTCTATAATTAGAACACTTCTCATTGGGTAACAAAGTCGTAATTTTCCATTTTTGTCAAAAAGTGTCTATAGTGGTGAATTATGGTTTAGGTGTTTTTTGACAAAGTTTCAAAAATTCCTATGTATGTGGAAAATGTAGTTCATTACCAAAGGTTACAATTTTTATTTTGAAGACTGCATGGTCTAGGAAGTGTACATTTTTTTATGGGGCAAGTTTCCAAGGGCGAGTTTTCTAGGGGCGAGTTGACTGCCAAAGAGTGTTGCCAAAGTGCGAGCCAG